ACACACACAGTGGGTAACATCTGAGAGTAGACTCATGGCACTAAATAACTGGGGGTTGGGACTCCTACTTCAATCCTGACCGGAGTCCAGGGTGGCAACTCAGGAAGGGGTTAGCTCAACTGAGACCTGGATCATGGGCTGGGGCAACACAGAGAAGGGTGTTCTGGGAATGGGAAATCGCTGCTATCAAGGCCTGTGTGGAGAGAGTCACCCACTGGAGTGGATCCTAAGCAGGGTGGTTGTACTTGAGACGCCATTGTGGCTGTGGGGTGTGGAGCAAGTGAGGGAACACTGGAATGATGAAATGAGAGCCGGAGATGCAGTGGAATTTTTGAAATTTTTCATTGTCTTATGATGGAGTTTTAACTTGAAATTATTCTAACATTCATCCATTTTGTCTAAAGATTTAAATGTGGAACTGATGAATATTCACCGTTTTTGAAAACTAGCATTTAAACCCAAACACCATCTATAGGTATGTAGTTTTGGCATTCTGTGATCCCAAGAGGTAAATAAACATGTCAAAAGTCTAACTGAAAAGCTACAGAGGTGGTTCTGGAACTTAACTCCTAGGTTAGGAATTCTGTCGTTTCTGTGGTGCTCCTTGAAATACAAAATCTCAGTGTCTGTGTACTGCGAATGATGTCAGAATAGTGTAACAAGTCTTGCAAAGAATTTTAGTCACTTTCTGTCATGTCATCACCATAATCCCAGGGAAGAGACAAAGGCCAGTACCATCATGTAGAGGAGGCCCTGGTATCTGAAAGGTCCCTGTGTAAGAGAAAGATAAATTTTAGATAAATTCTATCCTCTAGTGGTAGAAAAAGTATAAAAGGAGAGAGAGGGGGAAAGACCAGACCTATGTCTGACTGTATCTTCTGGGTCAGAATCACAGGAGTAAGAGGTGACCAAAATACTTAGTAAGGTAAGGTAAAGGCCAACCCAAGGTCACCAGATCCACTGCCTCCCATATGCAGAAATGAATAAATTACAGAGGGGCAGCCTTGAGCTGGGACATACGGGCACTCATCTGTGCAGCCCACACTCCATGGAGTGACAGTACTCTTGGGCAGGCGTCTGGACACAGTCCCTGGGGTAGAGTTCCATGTAACTGGCACAAGCCCATATCACTAGCCTTAAATAGAAAATGAGTTCACAATTTCTTTAATATTCACATTAGTGTTAACTTTAAGCCCCCTGGAGTAGGCAGAATACACCCCCCAATAAATGTCCAAAGCCTCATCCCTGAAACCTGTGAATATGTCACATCATATAGCAAAAGAAACTTTGCAGGTACCATTTATGCTAAGAACCTTAAGATGGGGAAATTCTCCTGGATTGCTTGGATGGACCCAATAGTTGGTCCCACAAGACCTTAACAGCCACCACTTTCTCTAGTAGTCAGAGAAATACAGCAGCAGAAGAGACTAATAGTGCTCTAAGTCTGAGGAGAGCCCCGCCCACCAGTGCCAGCTGGAAGATAAAGGCCCAACAACCTCCAGGAATGAGGTCAGCCAAACACTTGAGTGGGCTTGGCTGTCAGAGCTCCAGATAGGAGCGCACCAGCTGCACCTCCCGGTGGACCTCGCCCTGCAGAGCAGCATGCCAAGCCTGCTGGACTTCTGACCTTCAGAACTGAGAGGTAATAATAGAAACAGTTTCAAGACAGTCCATCTATGGTAATTTTCTACACAGCAATAGGAAACAAATACACCCACTACTGTGGATCTCTGAAGATCCATTCTTCAATGTTCCAACTTTTGGATTCATAAAAATACATATGATTCCCATAGATCTGTCTGTACCAGATGCCCTGGCTATTAAACACTACTGTTCCAGAGTCTAAATACTCCTCTCTGTTCATTACACCGAACCCTCTCCAAATGCAAAGACTGTGTGTAGATTGGCTACATCTTCTATGTTCTGGATTTTGGGTGCTGTGGCATCTGGGGGCTCAGGGGTCTGGAAGAGACTGCTTCTCTGGGCTGGTCAGAAGACAGCAAGCAACTAACTCTCAAGTGAGTTCATCTTTCATATGCAAACCCAACTCTTCCACCACCTGCTTTATGGATCTCTCGTAAGCTGAACCAGTATTCCTCTGTCCTTCCTTATCACCCAGGGCCACACACCAGTTAGCCTGGGATAGCACCTCCACCCCAGAGCCCCATGAAATCACTCAAACTGCCACCTCACTCCGCCTCTGTCATTCTTCCCCACCAAAAACACCAGCTGTGCTTTCCCAAAGGCTCTGGACTCCCAGCCAAGGAACCTGGGATTCTCCCATATGGCCTGTAGCCCTTCCCATGTTCCCACTCCTCCTGCGAATTGTGAGTAACAATTTTCAGTGACACTGGTCTCTTTATCTGTTGGCCCCACTATATCTGAATCATAACAAGACCCCAGGTACTTCTTAGACAGGCTGGTTCTTAGTCCCCCAGAGCCCAGCTGACACACATTTCTACCTAACCTTTTAAGAGTGACAAAAGCCACAGTGGTTTCTATTATAGCCAAGGGAAGTTACTCTTGGGGCCCACATGAAAGCACCTGATCCCAGTGCGCCAGTGCAACAGACTTCTGGGTTGCCAGGTGCACATCAACCCTTGTCCATAGGACTCTCCTACCCTTCCATGCCTCCATGTCCTGGCTCCTGTTCTTTTGACTGAGCAAAAGAAAGGAATGTTCTTGTCTTTATTTTCTACCCTACCCTAGAATGGTTTGTCATGGGGATACATAATCCTTGAAGTCTAAAATACTTTATCAAACTTCAGGATAATGTCCATGGCAAGATAAGGTAGGATCATTAGCTAATGCTACATTTTCCTAGAAGCTGAGTTCCTTGGCCTTAAATAGCACCATATACAGAGACCTGGGCTTTCAATTTAATTCTAATTTTAGGAAAGAAAACATTTATCTGTCTCATAGGGGGAATGGGATTGCTAAAGTCACAATATGTTCACTCAATACAAAGATCATATAGCATGGTAATCAACTATTCCATGATGTGATTTTTTTATGACTTTGAGGTTTTTCTCTGAGGAAAAAAATATGAATGCTTTATACCTACGTATCTAAAGAGTCTGTCTTAGTAACTTTCACAAAATTCAGTGAAGACTCCATGCCGCATTCAAATCAGAGCACAAAATTATTTTTAAAATATTGTTTCATCTTCAGCCATCTTTTTATAAAGTTGGGGTTTTTTTTTTCTGTTTTGTTATGTTTTGGTTTTGGTACCAGGTATCAAATTCAGGGCCTTGTGCTTGTGAGGTGGGTGAGGTGCCACTGAACTAAATCCCCAGCAGCTATCTTTTATATTAGTAAACAATAATGCATATCGTCCACAAAAATCAGTGGGTACAGATCTTGGTCTGAGTTATGCCATTCGTTGGCTTGGCTGTGTGTAATCATGTCCTAATCTCTGGGTCTCAGTTTTCTTGTCTGTGGAATGTGGATAATACTTCTTTCCTCACAGATTTTTTTGAGAATATTTGTTCTAGGATTCCAGGTACACTGTAGGGAATCTCAGAACTGTGCTTCCAGACCACACAGAGCGAGAGTTCTATGTTGGAATGTGGGTGCAGGGCCATGGAGGGCACCCTGGAACAGTAGCATGTGGCACCCTTCGGCGTGGCCCCTCCCTCAGCACACGCTGTCAGCGTGCTGCTAACCCACGCTGGCCAGCCACAGTGGCTGCTAGGGCTTCTCATCCCTGATACAGATAGCTGTATGTGAAAAGGAATGATAAATCTAAGCCTATCAAAGTCGTGATGAGGTCACTGTGGCCTTTCAGAACCAGAAGGCAGCTTGACACACTTTGGGTGAGTGCTTGGAGCGGTCCATAAAATTTCTGGATTTAAAATTTTTCATGATTTCATGTACAAAGTTCTTAGGTACTCATTTAAAATCCTTGTATTAAATAAATTAGATATCGGGGACACTTAACAACAGAGCCAGCCTATAGTCCTCTGCACTGTCCTGGCCATGACAGAGCCTCAGGTAAGGTCACAGACTGAGGGACTCCGAAGAGACAGCTCAAGTTAGCCCACAACCCCAGCCTGGCTCCTGACTAACTGATGAGCTCCAGGTACCTTTAGACCACATAATCGCATTTTTCTCAAGGTTAATTTTCTGATTTTGATGATGTGTGCAATTTAATCTCAAGTGGCTCAGAAAAAATATAATATGCATGTATATGTAGATTAGAATGATAATGATAAAGCTAATGTGGCAAAATGTTGACATTCGGTTAAGCTGGCATATCTAGAATTCTTTGTTCTGTTTGCAACTCTGGTATAAATCTGAAGTAAGTTTTGAAATTCATTCACCAAAAACTCCCTTGCTGTTCTACATAATAACAAAACAACATATTGCACATCTGGCTACTGTCTGTTTTCTTCCTGCCTGTTTTATTCACTGACATCAAAAATCCTTTCTCTGCTTTCTTGCTGGCATTCTACCCATGTTCATTACTTTATTGCCCTGGGAATCCTCTTTTCTTTCCTTTTTCTGTCAACCACAGAACTGAAAATTCCCTGTGAGAGATTCTCAGCAGGACAAGGCATGCACATGTTTCTCCATTCAAGGTCACTGGTCTTTGCTGCACCCCCACAAACATACCACACGGATAAATCCAGTCACGGACAGAGGGAAGCAGTCCTTCCCTGGTAAGAAGAAGAATTCATTCTCAAGTCATGAAAGACATAAAAGAAGAAAGAGGGGAAACAGAAGCCAGTAGCACCGTTGACCTCACTGCAGCAACAGGGACCTGGGGAAGTCCAAGTTGGGGTTCAGAGTGCTCTGCGAGCCCAGAGTGAACAGTGTTGTTCAAAGAGGGCCTCTGTCCACCCTGGAGTAGACCTGCTGTCCTTCCTGGGCTTTGCTCCTTCCATTCTCTGATGGCCCAACCCTGCTAGTATATAAGGAAACGGCCCAGACAGCAGGGTGCTGTTCCCACTTGAAGATGAAGAACACATAAAGTAAGCGGAAACCACAAGTCTGCCTACCTTCAGTCGCAGTTGTCCTGTGTCACAGATTCCTCAACTATCCCAGAGCCCTGAGGGGCTGAAGCCACCTCAGCACATGCAATATATAGGGAGAGGCTGTGTATCTGGGTTTTCATTCCACAAGGTGTTTTTGATGGTCCTCAGCCAAATCCACTTTAAAACAAAAAGCCACACAAAGACTACAAAAAGGCCACACAAAGTTTAACAAAAGGCTAAAGAAAGACCAAACAAAAGCCAAAGAAAGTTTAAACAAAGAGTGAAACAAAAACAAAACAAAGGCCAAACAAAGACATAAACAAAGGCCAAAACAAAGAGCAAAAGAAAATCTAAACAAAAGCTAAGCTAAGCTACAGACATCACACATGCCCTCAAACACATACACCATACCCCACACCATGTCCCCACACAATCCTGCAGCCTCCCGTGTTTTCAGAGCCCCATGTGAAACTGCACATGGTGCCAAAGCCTGTTCCAGACCACCTCTACTCCACATCAACCCACAAGCCACGTCCACCCAGCCCTTTTGCCCTTCTACCACCAAGCCATACCCATGGTCACCATCCCGCCCAGCACACCAGGCCTCACCCCCACACACACATCCTCAGCTGCACCCTACAGCATGAACAGAGTCACACAAACAAGTCCTCTCTTTGGACTTTGGTTTGCATACTCCATGCAGGTTGAATACCCATCCACACACACACCCCAAGACTAACGTGCACATACAGGAGAGAAACCTAATCTGTCTAGTTACAACTAATATTGAATTTGGAAGATTTATGACCATTACACCCGAATTTATGAAAACTTTTATGAACCTTCTCTTACGGTGGGTGATTTCTATAAATAATGTGGTCCCCAAACCAACACACCTTGTTTTATAGCAAGGGGTGATTTGCACACCAAGACACACAGGAGAGTAAGACAGAGACAGGAAGAAGCCGGCCACTGATTCACCAAGGAGGCCTCAGAAGGAGCTGGCCTGTGACACAGCCTCAGATTTCCCCCTTGGAGAAATATGGGAGGATGCATTTCTGCTGCTTTACACCCTGCTTTTGACGCTTTGTCACCGTAGGCCCAACAAACCAAGGCACTGTAGGGCCAACCAAAGACTAGTTCATTCATTTCTATATTTATCAAAATAACAAGTTAGAATAGTGTTAAAAGACCTACGCTGGAAACAATAGTCCCCTCAATCATCCTACTCACCAGAGGCAACCACCTTTAAGTTCTTTAGCTGTTTTTTCTCTACTTTCATACTATAAACACAAACAGCTACTTAAAATTTACACACTGCAGGCTTTTGGCTTTCTTTTGAGGGTTTAGTTACATTCTACTCCCTTTTCCCTTTCCCTTACTCATGGAATGTAGTTATGTCAGTGCTTATATTATTACAAATACATAAATATTAGTTCCTATAGAGCCTCATAATGAACTATGATATTCTCCTTTGTACAATTTTCATTTCCCTGGACTTCATAATTGTCCCATTTTTGCTTTTCATTTTAATTTACTTAAGTTTTAAAATTTACTTATAACTCATTTTTTCCAAATGCTCCAGCAAATCTGTCAAATATCATTTGATTATTTCTAAACATTCTAATACATTGAATAATCTCTTAGATCTCTTGTCTTCTGTAACCCTTTTGTCCTGATTTGATGCTGGCTGCTTTCTACTTTGACCAGGCCTGGATCTCTTCTCAATGGATTACCCTGTTCTAAGTCCCACGCCATCCTACCTCAGTTTTGTCTTGCTTTCTCTTATTCTGCAGTACACCATCCACTATGTTCCTTAGAAAGTTATATGCAGGGTCAGGGTATGATGTGGACCTGTGATCCCAGCTCTGTAGGAGGCTGAGGCAGGAAGATTGTAAGTTCAAGCCCAGGCTGGGCAACTTAGTGAGACCCTGTCTGAAAATTTAAAAATAAAAATTAAAAAGAGCTGTGGCTGTAGCTCAGTGTGATAGCCTTGGGTACGTGCTGCTAAACACATAAATATCTAAATAAATAGGGTTTCTTCTATAAAATGAATTTTTCTAGTGCTTGCCTATCTAAAAATGACTTTATTCTGCCCTCACACTTTGATTACCTGTTTGGGTATAGAATTCTAGGCTCAAAGTTATTTTCCTTCAGAATTACTAGATGTATTGTTTTTCTAAAGTTTTCTCCAGTGTGGTTTTTGAGAAGCTCTGGACCTTTCAAATTTCCATTTCTTTGTGTTGCTTTAGTCTTTTTTGTTTTTGTTTGTCTATGACATTTTCTTCCCAACCCTCTGGAAATGTTCAGAATTTTTCTTTTTGTTTTTCATTTCATTTTGTTTTAGGGCTCTGAGGATGGAATCCAGGCCTGCCATATGAGCAAGCCCCGGGACCTGGGCAGCAGCCCCAGCCTGGGTTCTTATTCTAACCCACTGTTCTGAAGCCACTGAGCTGCACCTCTTTAGGACTCCTCATCCCCACTGAATGGACCATTTTCATCTGGAAATTCATAAACATTCCATTTTGAACTTTTTCCTTTTGCTTTTATTAATTTATTTCTCTCCATTTCTTCCTGAAATTTTTATTATTTGACTACTGAACTGTCTAAATGGATCTTCTAAACTGCCCCTCCTTCTTCACCTGTTTCCAATTGTGACTTTATGTTTTCCCTTTTATAGTTTTCTCATTAGACTCCCCCTACCGAACTTTACAGTTCATTTTGACAATCATATTTTTCAATTCGAAGACTTTATTCTTATTTGGTGACTTTTTCCTTTCAAGGCACAGAATATTTTCTCTAAACCTAATGTCAAACATTTTTTAGAGAGCTTATTGAAAATTAGTATAAAGCAAGTGAATTACCTACAGAAGAAAGTTATCTGAAGAAAGGAGATGTGTGTGTCACTTGTAATATAAGGACACTCCTTAACCGGACGTGGTGGCTCATGCCTGTAATCCCAGCACTCAGGAGGCCAAAGCAGGAGGATCTCTGTGAGTTTGAGAGCAGCCTGGGCTACACAGTGAGTTCCAGGTCAGTCTCAACTACATAGTGACACCCTGTCTCAACACCCCCACAAAGAACACTCCTGTATTTCACCTCAAAACTTAAATGTACCTAAAGCTGTATCTACAAGCAGGCAATGGTTGTGTGTCTAACAAACAAAATTACATGTCAAAATATTAAATGTTGCTTTTTTATTTCAAAAGATTTGACTGCATACCACCCTGATTTCAAAAGACAAAAGGCCAGAGATTTTCAACAACACTACTTTACTGTATGAATATGGAAAAGTTAGTGCTTTGTTTTATAAATAAGACCATTTTAAATTACTGGAAAGTAAAAATGAACTGGTTGATCAAATACGAGAGAAACAAATCTGAATGGTTCCTTATCTGCGCTTCAGTCTTGATTTGTGGAGTATAGCGGTCCCATCAGGATTTCAACCCTGACCCTGCAGATCTGGGGCTCACAGGGCCGGATTCCGTGGTAAACGGGGACAGGGTCCAGTAAACCTCACAGACAAGGCCTCTGTGTTCCAAGCCCCGCCCCACATCTGTCGGTCTCCCTCTGCTCTGCTGGGCCCACTCACCATTGTGCTCTGGCCAGGGACACCTGGCATAATAATGGACAGCATGTTCCCAAATTATCGGGCTGTTACGCATCCTGCATCCAATCCAGGCACTGTTTCCATCCAATATACCCCTGGGGAAGAGCTGGGCAGGACCTCTACTAATAGAAGGCACAGATGAAAAAGTGTCCCTGTGACATTGCGGTAGTGTGGCCCCTGACTGTGGTTGTAATTGTGCTGTCAGTTACCCAGAGACAAGAAATCCAAACAGTGAAGCAGGACCCTAAGTAAATGGAAATCATCTTTGAAATAAAAAGAATTCAAAGAAACAAGAAAATTATTTTTGTTTTAATTCTATGCTACCAAGCAGTCAAGTGTCTGGTAGTTTGGGAAGAAAGTGCCCGTGAAAATCATGGATCCCAAGGTATCTCTGGCCCTTTCACAATAGGTTAATTGTTCACAATTAATTATAAGGTTTTGTTTTTTTAATATGATAATAGCACTGCCAAGACACATAAGATCTCTATAAATAGAAGCTACATCTCTAATTCATTGTCCCTTGAAAAATTAAAACCCTAGATTCTAAGCCTGTGACTCTGAAGTCGACAACGTGTTCCAGCATATGTGGCTGACGTATAACATCTCTACTCTTCCTGTGCTGAACATATATCATCTCTCCCAGTCCCTACAACAACCCTGTTAGGTAGAGCTTTTCATCATTCCCAATTTACAGTGATGAAACTGATACACAAAAATCTTCAGTAATTTTCTCAAATCCACAGTCATAGGTAGAAATGTGATTTGTTTTTGTTTTATAACACTGGGGATTGAATCCAGGACCTTCCCATTGATCTACATCCCCAGCCCTGCCCTTCAAAAAATCCTTTGTTTTGAAATAGGAACTTGCTAAGTCCCTAAGTTGCCAAGCCTGGGTTTGAACTTGGGATCCTCCTGCCTCAGCTACCCAGAATGCTGGAATTATAGGCCTGGGAGCCTCAGGCAGGAAGATTGCAAGTTTAAGCCTAGCCTGGGCAATTCAGAGATATAGTGAGACCCTGTCTCAAAATTTTAAAAATATGAAGGAGAGTGAGACCCTGTTTCAAAAAACAAAACAAGAAGTATATATGGGTTGGGGATATAGCTCCATGCAAAAGCCCTGGGGTTCAATGGCTAATACCAAAAGAAAAAAGAAAAAGGAAAGAAAGAAGAAAAGAAGGAGGCAGGGGGAGAAGGGAGTGAGAGGGAGAGAGGAAGAGGAGGGGGGAGAGAGACAGAGGGGGAGGGAGAAGGGAGGAAGGAGAAAGAGAGAAAAAGAGAAAAGAGCCTTGATTTCTGATCCAGTCTGTGCAATTGTTGCGCTCCACTGCCCCCTGGTGGCCAGAAGGAATCAGCACGAACAGCTGAGAGCAGGCAGGGGAATGGGATTCTCCTGGACCTTAGGGCAGCTGAGGGGTGAACCAGACAGCTCCTCATTCTCCCAGGCCACAGCAGCCAAGCTACGCAATGCTGGGCAGAGGGGCAGGCCCAAGGCCTGCGACAGCCCAGCTTAGAACT